TATATATATATATAATATACACATAAGGTTTTTATTCCAGATTCTCTTCCTAAGTTATTGTTAAATCACGATGCAGGAGTAATTTGCCTCTTCTCATCCAGGTTTCCTCAGGAACTGAATGTAGGAAAGTTGTCAGCTGAAGTCATGTGGACGTTGTTTGCTCAAGACATGAAGTACGCTTTGGAAGGTAAGTCCTGAAACACACTTTAGACTTGACGATTACGTTGTAATGATTGTAAGACAAGAGATCACAAGTGTTCAGTTAAGCTCRCAAGTCTCATAGTTGCCTCCATTTTTGCCTCCAGAGCACGAGAAGCAYCGAATGTGTAAGAGCACAGACTACATGAACCTCCACTTTAAAGTCAAGTGGCTCTACAATGAATATGTCAAGGAGCTGCCAAACGTTAAGGGCATTATTCCCGACTACCCGTCGTAAGTGCATGTGGCCTGGAAAGATCTGATTTGATAGAGACACCGATTGCTCAACTCAGTGTCATTGTTTTAATTTTTTTTTCTTTGTAGATGGTTTGTGCAGTTTGTTTTGCAGTGGCTGGATGAAAATGAAGACGTATCAATGGAATTTATGCATGGAGCCCTGGAGAGAGACAAAAAAGATGGAGTAAGTCGATTTAAATTCTCTTCTATTTCGGCTTGTGAGGTGCTTCTCAAGTGGAATTCATGTTTTCAGGCGCATGCACGAGGAAGTTGTTTCATAGCATTTTAAGTTGAACTAAATCCTTGCTGCTTTTTCCCTMAGTACATTAGTCTTATTAACAGCTGTATGTTGTTTTTGCAATCATGTCAGTTCCAGCAGACGTCTGAGCACGCTCTGTTCTCCTGCTCTGTGGTGGACATCTTCACCCAGCTCAACCAGAGTTTTGAGATCATCAAGAAATTAGAGTGCCCTGACCCYAGTGTCATGGCTCAGTACAGCCGTCGCTTCTCGAAGGTAAATGTTTATCTCTGAATTTTAACACCTACAACAAAAGCAGCTCTAATCAGTTTCTTTCAAAGTAACAGATTACATATTAATGCTTTTCCTTTTTTAACATTTGCAGACAATTGCCAAAGTTCTTCTGCAGTACAGTGCCATGCTGACCAAGAGTTTCCCTTCTTACATTGATAAGGAGAAAATTGTAAGTTGTTACTTTTCTTTATTATCTAATTTTTATTCAGTAAAGGACATCTAAAAGTCGGTCTCACTACCAGTTTATGTTGCTGTCAGTCTTATAGTAAATTTAGAAATGAAGGTCTTACATTGGGTRAATTATTTAAATATGTATTGTGTGTGCTTATATGTATGTTATTGTTTCCTGTGTTCTCTTGCAGCCCTGTGTCCTGATGAATAACGTGCAGCAGTTGAGAATCCAACTGGAGAAAATGTTTGAGTCGATGGGCGCCAAACAGGTGAGTGGAGCAACGAAAGGATGTTACTGGTCAAATGAGGACAATGTATGGAAACCATACTAAATGCTATTCAGTTTAGAAACTTAGAAACTATTGAGGTGTTTGTGTTTGTATCAGACTGCTACAGAGGAAGCACTGGTACGTACTGGTGATCTATGTAGATTATTTAAAGTAGGTGGTTGGGATTATGGATTTAGTTTAAGTGTGCTCGCTTATAGTCATTTTTGTTTTGAATGCTGCATTAAGGTCTGTGTTGGGTAATATTAGAAATGAATAAATAGCATTTGTTTGATTCTAAGCTAGAGAATACTGATTCAGATGGTCCATGACATCATTTTTACTACATTATTATATATAGTAGCTTATCTGTGAGTCTATTAGTTTACATAAAACATAATATCCCAACATTAGCTTTAGTTAAATTAGTTTAGTGTTTGATTAACCCTTAGCCTGTTGCTGTTGGATGCAGTAGCTTATGTTTCAACCAGTGTGTTTACTTTGTGAGTAAAGCTAAATGAAATCATAGAGGAGGAGGAAGAAGAAGAAGAGACAAGGGAGGAGGTATGTTTTATCATGGTCTGTTAAAGACAGATATTTGTCCTTATAAAGTACAMATTTCTGTTGTTTAAGTAGTGTATTGCTTATTTCTTTTCTTGCCTCTGGTTTGGAAAGCAGGTTGCAACAGAGGATGAGAAAACAAAGGTTTTGGTGGGTACTGGCAGTAGGAGTAGTTTAGTAGTTAGAAATACTCTAAGCAGACACTGTAGTGTTTTTGTGTTAGCTTCCACAGTTCCYTAATATTTACTGAAACTTAAAAAGTAGAGAAAGTGCATTGCTGCTGAACCTTTAATGGCATGCCTATGCAATGTTTGAGGCTAATATAGGAAGCAGTTTGTTGTTAAAAGTGCAACACAACTTCTCTAAATGACAAAATGTCTTTGCTGTGAAGTTAACATGGCTACAAAAAGAGAAAGTCCACACCTTAAAATAATTTTAAGTAAGTTTAGTACCATGAAAAATATGGTTGTTTTTTTGGGGGTTTTTTTGTAAAATGACARCCCTTCTCATAGTGCTGAGTGGTATGACCCAAATTTTATATTATGGTATTTTCGACAATTATACCAGTATCACAGTATGTGGTGGTATTTTTATTTTTATCACAGCTCAGCTGATAATAAAATGTACCAACACTTAACGGGACGACTYGGCCTCCATGCACCAGTCATCTCAACCCCAGTACAAAACTACTTTCCCCAGGCTTTTCACAATAAAAGCACATAAATGTCTCCACACATTAACGCTACACATTAAATGTATCTGCGCATGTCACCAAAGACTATGTTCAGCGATKGCGAAAATGGGAGGTTTTTTTATGTCAATCAATATAAGCAGCGGAATCACCACCTGCCGCCAGGATAGCGTGGCTGCAAGAAATGTGTCTCCCATGAAACAGTTCATTGGTGGGCATGACATAACGTTCCGAGTGTGTTCAGGCTATTTAAACTGGTATGTCCGGTATTCAGAAAATTCATATCATAAGAAAAGTAAAAAGCATTTTTCGGTATGAACCGGTATGCCGTCCAGCACCAACTTCTCATGTATAAAAAATTAAATATCACTTTTTGCTGTATTTAGGTGTAGTAACACACCAGTAAGCTACAGCATTATTTGTTGCCAAGCTTTGGCCAGTTGTGTACCAGTCAGTACATTTTTCTTGACCTGGGCAGTATCAAGTCAAATGAAGAGTGAAGACAGGTTTTATTTTCTTCTCTTTTCCAGCTCATGAACAGTGCGCTAGAGTGGCAGGCAAGTTTACTRTATATGCAAACATGTTTTACAATACATGACTGCATATATCTTCATCACATTTTACGTAAAAAAAATCAAAACTATGTAGATGGCAGCAATGAGATGTGAAAACGTTCTCATCTCTTCACTGCAACTCCTAGTTTGAAGAGAATGAGGAAGAGGAGGAAGTAGGCATGGAAGGGGAGGAAATAGAGGCTGAGGTTTGTTGCAGTTTGAAGTTTATTTTTAACGTCACTCATTTTCAAAGTCCAAATCATTCCTTTGCATCAGTTTTCCTGTTTGGCCTGCTCCTGGCACAATCATACCCTTTCCTTTTAAAATCCTACATGATGGAGTTTGTCGTGTTGAGGTTTTACTGTCATCTGTGTGGATTTCTACCTATTTTACAGCACTTTGCCTAATCTTCCTCACTTCTGCTCTTTTATGTTTTCTTCAATAACCATCCATAAGTTGTGTTTCTTTAATTGTTTTAAATTTTTTATTTTGTTAATTTTGGGTTACACTAGAATGACAAGGACAAGGTGGGTTCCAGTGTTACAATTTTCATTTGATTTTCAAGCAGTAAAGTTTTACATTTCTCTCAATGTTTTTAGCATAAAATGTTTTTTAGACAATTTTTTAAATTCCTAAATTAAACTCCCCTTACTCAGCTATAAATACTCAAAAATACACTGCCTGGCCAAAATATTAGTCGCCAATGGAAAAAAAAAGGTCACACTCTAATATTTCATTGAACTACCTTTAGCTTTGATTACGGCACATATTCACTGTGGCATTGTTTGGATAAACTTCTGCAACGTCTCAAGATTTATTTCCATCCAGTGTTGCATGAATTTTTCACCAAGATCTTGCATTGATGATGGTAGAGTCCGACTTCCTCCAGCACATCCCAAAGATTCTCAATGGACTCTGTGGAGCCAATCCATGTGAAAATGATGTCTTATGCTCCCTGAACCACTCTTTCATAATTTGAGCCCAATGAATCCTGGCATTGCCATCTTGGAATATGTCCGTTCCATCAGGGAAGAAAACAATCCATTGATGAATAACCTGGTCATTCAGTATATTCAGGTAGTCAGCTGACCTCATTCTTTGAGCACATACTGTTGCTGAACAGAGACCTGGCCACCTGCAGCAACCCCACATCATAGCACTTAGGTGGCAACTATTTTTTTTTTTTTCGGCCTGGCAGTGTATGTCCCTAACTATCACAGGTTTCTGGTTAATATATATATATATATATATATAAGTCCAAACATGAAAGTTAATCAAAGTGTTCTTGTTACCCTCTACCTCTTTGTGCTGCCTTAGAGAGAAATTGCATTTGAAGAGCAAAAGGTGAGTGTAGGTGCACTGATGATGCATCTTAATGCAAAATAAATAGGAGGAAAACATGTAAAGCACATTTCATACCTAGCAGCACCATCCATTTCTTACTGCTTTATTCTAACCTGAAGCCTTCCCTTTGTGCAGAGCTGAAACCTCGTTTTTTTTATTCCTCACTAATGGTTCTATGTGGTCCTGTCAGCCCATAAATCAAAAGCCCATTAGATCATTGACTTAATGAGCCACACTAAGACTTTATCCATACGCTTAGTCCCCTCCTCCCCAGGCCATGCTTGTTTAGATGCCTGAGTTTGTGGAGATGGTTCATAAATTTTTCCTACCATTTCCCACACCTTTGTGCTTTGAAGGCAAAGTTTCAACATTTATCTTTTGCAAAATATGTTTAAAATGTACAAGTGTGTGCTATCTATCTTTCTGAATTTAGTTATCATTAATAGCTTTCACTGTTTGTGTTGGAGTGCAGCTTTAAAGTGCCTGTGACATGCATATTCTTCAAATGCAAAAAGTCAAAGAAAACATCTTCATGTTTAAGAAAGTTGGAATAATACACACGATTTAACCCATTTTGTTCCATAACTGGCATATTTTCTTTTGAACTTGGCCTACACATTCTCACTCCCAACTCGTCACATATTGACGCTTTTCCAAAGTTCCCTCTGCGTCTTATTTTGACGCATCAGGTGACCCCCTCGCGTCAGTCCTTGACGCCCGCGGCTTTTCCGGGTTGCGCCACCAGGGGTCTTTGGGTCGGGGGTCTGAGGTTAACATGAGGGATCAGGATTAATGGTTAAGTTTAGGTACTGGGATCAGGGGTAGGATGTCCATGGTGAATATTAGGTAATTTCAGGCTTTGGAACCTGTTGACGTGAATTTCCTACATTTTCTAAAAATGGTTAATTTTAGGTACTAGGGTCAGGGACAGGATGTCTAAAGTGAACAAAGGTAATTTCAGGCTTCGAAACGGTAGTTTTTGCGCATTTTCTACACTTTCTGAAAATATGACAACAAATTTCGCCCCATCTCGTCAGTAACTGACGTGACGGGGGTACCCGGCGCGTCAAAATCGGACGTAGAGGGAACCTTGGAAAAGCGTCAATATGTGACGACATGGGAGTGAGAATGGGTTGACTTGGTTCAGCCAAAGTGAAACAGGAAGTGACATCAAAGGGGAACTCTTTTATAAAGAAAACTCTCTGGTCTTTGTTTATTGAAACAATATTATTTGAACTCTGACACTTCTTCATCTCTCTGATAGTGACTCAAAATAATCTAAAGAACCACCAGATTCTTCTCTACAGTCTGGGTTGTTGGCTGTTGTAGCAACACTTTGTTCACATGCAGACGTTCCCCTTTGACATCACTTCCTGTTACTTCACAGGCAAATATCTCAAAAAATGTTCATCTCAGCGACATGAAATTCCTTTTGGAGTATTTTATCAATGTCCTCTTTCTAAAAATGCATTCATATGTATTACAAAAATTTGATGTTACTGGCACTTTAATAGGTTTAAAAATATTTTATGGTACTTTTGAAATTACATTTTAGATGTGAAAGGAAACAAAGTACTCCTTTTAAATAAAAATGCTAACATATGTGTTTTTTCTTGACAATTTTAAAGTTCAATGTGCTGTATATGCAATAAAAATTATCTATTAACACTTTTTTTTCTTACAGATGGACACGGAGGCCAGCGACTTACTGAACGACCTGCAGGTGAGGCTGAACAATGTGCTGGATGACCTGAGCAGTACGTTTGGGAACAGGTACATTTACAACGTGCCCGTAAATGAAGATATTTTTGTAACCACACTTGTGCTTGTTCTGCACTGATCGTTTTCTTTCATTCCAGTTTCCAGAACCGTATCAATGACTGTATGCGACAGATGGCRTCCTTGTTGTACCAGATCAAAGGGCCGCTGAATGAGAACACTAAAAACCAGGTGGAGGCCGACTCTGACAACATGCTCCGGCCRCTCATGGATTTCCTGGATGGAAAGTGAGTGGGTTTGTTAACCTGTTTTTGTTCATTTGTCTTGATAACTGGTTGAATTAATGTGTTTTTTTTGTTTTGTTTTGTTTTGTTTTTTGCAGACTAACTTTATTTGCCACTGTGTGTGAGAAAACGGTATTGAAGCGTGTGCTGAAAGAGCTGTGGAGGATCGTAATGAGCAGCCTGGAAAAAACTATCGTCCTGCCGCAGGGCCAYGACACTTTTGTATGTCTTGTTTTTGGTTTTATTGCAAAATCATTTTCTCCTATTTTTTTAACAAAAACCAAGAGAGTACACACTGAGCCATGATTTTTTTTAACCTTCTTCCTCTTTTGTTCTTAGGGAACAAATATTCTGTCAGCTGCAAAAGAACTTGGGCAGTTCTCCAAACTCAAGGTATCATAATCTGTCCGTGTTTGTTTTTTAATATTAATAAACCAAATTGGTGTTATCTGTATTAAGCGCTGATGCTTAGAAGGCTACAAAGTGCTAATGGTTTTCCTTGATTGTTCAGGATCACATGGCAGGGGAGGCTAAAAGTTTGACTCCCAGGCAGTGTGCTGTCATGGATGTGGCATTGGACACTATCAAGGTGAGTTCATCCTGTCGGTTTTGTGTTTCCCATAGAAAAAGTTTATTAAGGAGTTTGAGGAATTCTCTTGGGGTTTCATGGTAGCATTATTGGGACTACATTCTTTCAAACTGTCAATAAAACTCAAGATAATTACTGGAATAGTGAGACCCTTTCTGTTTTCTTTGTTTTGTTTGTGTTTTTGTAGCAATACTTTCACGCTGGAGGCAACGGACTGAAGAAGGCATTCCTAGAAAAGAGTCCTGAGCTTTCATCACTCCGTCATGCTCTGTCCCTCTACACTCAGACAACAGACACACTCATAAATACCTTTGTAACCACGCAGCATGCACAAGGTATTTTAAGGTTTCTCATGAGAAGTAAAATGTGAACTCTTTCTTTCTTCCCCAAACTAGACCAGGAGATGGCACTAGTTGATCAGCAAGCCACTTTTAAGAAAGACTGGTTTAGTTTTGCATCTGTCTCCTGCGTGCTTTGATGACATGTTCTTGCTGTCTTCTTTTTATCCCCCGTGCTGCCTCTGTGCCAGTGCACWATGGAAAGGGTATTAGGTTTACTCCCAATGAAAAAATACAGCCCAGCAGGGGTAGGTCTTCTTGAAATCCTCACCCAGCCCTCCTTTCCTTTCTCACTCACTTTCCTTTTGTAGATGTAGTTGTGTTCTGAACTGATGTGGGTAGGTCCATCCTAGCCCCATTTCTCCCCCTCCGCCCCTTCCCCCCATAATTTTTATTATAAAGTAGAACTTTGTTTCTGTCTGTGTGGGATCAAATTGAAATCTGCTGGTTGTCTGGGTGTGTGTCAAAACCAGGCTCTGGTGTGGATAAGCCGATTGGTGAGGTGTCCCTTCAGATTGAGCTGTATACCCACCCAAAGAGTGGAGAGCGGAAGGTCACAGTAAAAGGTTCGTTTAAGACTTTTCTAAAAAATGCAAAGTTTTAAGCTATGTTAGCTTCCCATTTACAAAAAAAGCATTCTTGATTTTTGTATTTGATATTACAGTGGTRGAAGCCAGTGATTTAAAATGGCAGACGTCTGGCATGTTCAGACCCTTTGTGGAAGTCAACATGATCGGGCCTCATCTCAGCGACAAGAAACGCAAATTCCAAACCAAATCGAAAAACAACAGCTGGTCTCCCAAGTACAATGAAACCTTCCATTTGTAAGTAGAACATCCTGCTTTTCCAATTCTGTGAAAAACAAAAATTCAGTTTGCACTGACATGGATGACACACGAAATTCAGATGGTGGGCAGGAAGTGATTTGCTCCGGTTCGAAACACAGCCAAATGGATCACAGCGTGTACGCTAATGCTCTAAATGGGCTGGCGTAGATGAAATATTGCGAAAAAAATTCATACATTTAGAATATGATCTATTATGTCTTAATAAAAAAAGATTTGTCATATAATCTGGAGGATTTACCTGGCGTCAAGGCGATTGACATAAACGTACTTCAGACCTCGTATTATACGACGAGCCAGATGAAAGCTTTCAAAAAGCCTCGAAATTTATGACATTTAGGATCCAAAAAAACTTTATATGGCTGTCGACTTGTTTCTGCCCAGGTGAGGAGTGCTGTTTTAAGTAATTAGCCTATGAAAACAATGCTTGTCACAGACAAGGATAGAATTTCTAGGCGCAGCCGAGGTGTTGAGGGGATCTGTTTTGGTGACCTCAGGATCACATCTCTGCTTTCTGCAGATGATGTGGTCCTATTGGCTTCATCAGATCGTGATCTCCAGCTCTCACTGGAGCGGTTTGCAGCAGAGTATGAAGCGACCGGGATGAGGATCAGTTCCTCCAAATCCGAGACCATGGTCTTGAACAGCAAAAGTGTAGAGTCCCTCCTCTGGGTCGGAAAAGAGGTCCTGCCCCAAGTGGAGGAGTTGAAGTATCTCAGGGTCTTGTTCACGAATGAGGGAAGAATGGAGCAGGAGATCGACAGGCGGATTGGTGCTGCGTCTGCAGTAATGCGGGCGCTGTACTGGTCTGTCGTGGTGAAGCAAGAGCTGAGCCAGAACGCTCCCATTTTTACCCTCACCTATGGTAACGAGAAGGAACGAGATCGCAGGTACAAGTGACCGAAAAGAGTTTCCTCCACAGGATGTGAGAAGCTCAGTCATCCAGGAGGGACTCTGAGTAGAGCCGCTGCTCCTCCACGTCTAGAGGAGCCAGTTGAGGTGGCTCAGGCATCTGGTTAGGACGCCTCCCTGGTGAAATGTTTCGGGCATGTCCCTCTGGGAGGAGATCCAGAGAGAGACCAAGGACACGCTGGAGGGACTCTCTGGATTTCTCTTCTTAGGCTGCTGCCCCCGTGACTTGACCCCAGATAAACGGAATAAAATGGATGACTGGATAGCAACACWATTACTAACAATGACTCAAACCTTTTCTGGGGACAACCAAGCTAGGATGTAAAAATAATTTATTTTACCTGGCATATGAATGCTTGTCTTTCTAAGTAACTGTCCCCAAAAAAATAAAAAAATATGATTTAAATGATACCATCCTTGCAAAGTGCAAAGTGGTCGCTGCAAAGGTGTTTCCGCACCTCCTGTTTTTAGCCATAGATTGTTGATCCACTTTTGTTGTCTTTTTTTCTCTTACATTTTTTAAAATGAACTCCCTTGTGACGCACTACTTTTGGAACACAAAAAAAACTTWTATCTTTCTCCCKATTAGAGCGGTTACTACAGAGCCTGCGAGGGGACATGGTGGGATTTCTTTCTTTTGCGTTCCCATGCAATATTTTTGCGTTACCTCGCAAAACTTTAGTGTTACCTCACAAAAACTTTTGCATTAACTCGCAAAAATTTGCGTTCCCACGCAAAAGTTTGTTTTGTATATAAASTGAATTAAATCAGACTTTTATTTTGAAATGTCCGGTTTACAAAACAGGATGTGTCGCCACAAGTTTGTGAAACTGACATTGATGTTGCGTGGCTGCACTGTGTTAAAATATCAGCATATGGCATACTTCCATRCGTGGCTGTGATATATTCATTCTGAAGCTGAATTAAAGCAGTAGGCTAACTCACTAATGGTGAACATGAGAATGTGTTAATAAACCAGCAGGTACAACAGTGATAAAAGACTTTTGCGAGGGAGCGCAAAAGGTATTGTGAGGTAACRCAAAACTATTGAGTGGGAATGCAAAAGAAAAAAAATCTCCCATGTCCCCTCACGGGCTCTGTTGGTTACAACAACCATACACAACACAGAATTTAGACAATTTGACGCTGAATCAACAGAGGGAAATGGGACTACATTTACTTCCTGCCCCCCRCCTGCATTTTGTGACGTCAAAACTTTTTATTACCAGATTTGCATTCAAGTTGTTTACCTCCTGTGTGCTGTTGGATAACCAAAATCACACCCTGTTCTTTCATGACAGTGTTCTGGGTAACCAGGATGGCTTTGAGTGTTACGAGGTGCAAGCCAGTGTCAAAGACTACTGCTTTGGTCGGGCTGATCGAGTGGTGGGTTTATCTGTGGTGCAGCTGAGAGACATCATGGAAAAAGGCAACTGTGCCTGCTGGTGTCCCTTGGGTCAGCGCATACACATGGACGACACGGGCGTCACCGCCATGCGAATCCTCTCCCAGCGCTACAACGACGACGTAGCTAAGGAGTTTGTAAGGCTGAAGTCGGAGACTCGATCAGCGGAGGAGGGCAGATGAGGACGCCTGAAAGGGGAGCAGAGAAGGAGCTTGGACTCTTCGAAGAGTGGCCATGTGGACTCATTCTTAGACCTTAGATGTGTCTTAGCTGCTGTCAACACTTTGCCAACCTCACTGGTTAAACACTCACTATGTGTTCCTCAAACTGAAGCTACTGTACAGCACATGAAACCACTCAGGCTCTGACCACTCTGACTTTACCACCATTTTATTTTTCATCCTCATCTGCTGGAGTGGCAAAGTGTGCACACAATAGCCTCAAGGAAACAAAGGATTTAGGTTTCTATATACCTATACCTCCCAAGTGTTTTTTGTGCAATAACCCTATCCACCCCACACCCTCTACACATGCACACACACACGTCCACCCTCCCTTTACTTGTGGCCAAGTGTTTTAAGCCTTACACTGTGGAAACTGTGAAACTAATTTGTCTTTTGCGTGCCCTTTTCTGTAGCTCCACTGTGATGTGTTTGAGGAAATGTGAAAATGTACTTGTTTCAAAAAGGATTAATTTTTTTTATTTATTTTTTATTTTATTTTATTTTTTTGTAGCAGGGGGATAGTCCAAGTCATGTAATCAAAGTTAGAAACTTTACTCAATTCTCTAATACACATTTAACTTTAGAGGATGTACTATAGCTCGTAGTCCTAACTGTTGCTTTTTACTAAATTAATTGTTTTAAATTGGTGCCTTGCCATGCAGAGACACGCCAGATATTTATTCTTTGTGTTTAAATGATCAGTTTATGTTTTAATTCAAACTTAAGCAAATATATGACTTTGGATTCCTTTTTTATTTTATGCTTTTGCTCTGTTTTAGACTTTTAAACTCATGTGGCCTGGTGTAACCTGGAGGTTTTTGCTATTTTATATATTTTTTTATTCATATTTATTATTTGTCTGTGCTTTTTAAAGACTGGGCTGTAATATGCTGTTTTGTTTTCGTTGATCTGTGTTGTGTTTTATGCACAGGGATCTGGGTGAAGGAGTTGCTGCAGTTTTGGTACAAAATGAAGTACACACTAACAAAAATAAAGTGACAAAACAGAGTATGTGGAGTTATTTACAAAGAAGTCTAGTAGAAATGGTATAATAAAATATAATTATAAATACTATAAAATATTTAGTGTTGATGTAGCCCATAATGACATCAAGGAAGTAGTTTTATTTTTTTGTGACTTTTAAACCCTTTTAAAAAAATTTCTTTGATATTGACACATAGTAACTTAACTAGGCTGGGTTTTATTGCAGTGTATCTTGTTGAGTGTTACATGTGTTGCAGATTGTTTTTCTTTCTTTGACTGGAATGTTTCCCCAAGTTCTGGAGTTTTTTTATTTTTTTATTTTATTTATTTATTTTTTGTCTGCTAATATGTCCTGGACCAGAAGCGACCCACAAAAGACATCCTAATGAGGGATAAATGATCTTGTAACAAAAAAAGCTCCTCTTTTTCGCCATTTGCACTGTAGAAACCACAAGTTAGGACTACTGCCTGTACAGCCTGTAACTCACATGTTCCTTGTGCCAAGTCAAAAGTGTTCACTTTGGGTGTTTTGTACTGCATAGTTTTAAATCTTAAACACTGCAATAGTTTATTTTCTCTCTCTCTCTGTGCACCATATCTGTAATGGTAACTGCATTTTTTTTTTTTTTTTGATGTTCCGTTGTGATGACACTACACTGAATGCCATCATGTAAACATTCCAACTAATAATTTTTGTTTTCTATAAAATGTTTTAAAAAACACAGTGTCTGCTTTTTCATAGCACTGCATTCAAAATGTGTTCTCCCACATGACTGAACATTTTTTTAAACCAATCAGTGCTCAGTTTTTAGTTTTTTATTTTTTGACTGACTTTACTGGGGTTTGTCAACTTGAGCTTGATATGTTTTTTTTTTCTCCTGAAACAGTAATAAATAAATAAATTTGAAAGCACCTTTTTTTGCATTTAGTTATGAGTATTGACAGAAAAAATTAAAAAACATAATGCAATAATTTACAATCTCATAAACCTATGGTATATTTATTCACAATGAAACATTGTTTTTTTTTTTTATGGCCTCCCTTCTCCCCTTATAGCCATGTCCTCCACTCCATTATTATGATTTTTTAATAGAAGAAAAAGGAGAAAGAAAAAAGGGAAATGTAAAGAGAACGAGTGAAAAAGAGATTAGAAGATATGTAAAATATATGTTGAGAAAACACAGGACAGCACACCGGACTTCTTGGCTCCACACCTACAAAAAGACAGCAAAACCACAGCAACAAAAATGCATAACTATGTAATTATAATGACTTTAGCCTTGCTGAAAACCATATCCATATACATATATAAATTTATACATATACTGTACACATAAACCTACCCTTACCTACATATCCAAACACTTTCACACACACACACATATAT